ATGTGTGTGTAATATTTGTCCATCTCGTTGTGGACTCTCTTGGTGACTTAGTAGAAATAGAATCTTATATTTAACTTTATAAATAAAATTCTATAATTTTTCGATAATAAATGTTTTTTTTCAGTCATTTTTTTTTTTTTTTTTTTTTTTTTTACAGTATGGGTAAATTAGCATGTATATAAAATTTAATATACTTTTCTAGCTAAAATTTACTGTGTTCGTTTTTAGGAAGATGACAGAAAATGTGACATGAAATCCAATATACTGAGATAGCCAAAGATGCATTTCAAAAGCTAAGCAGTGTATAAGAAAGCAGAAAAATTTTGATAGAAACAAAGAAAAGAGTACAAAACTGTTATGTGATATCAGTCCTCCCATAATGGCAGTGAATACTGGTCAATGTCTTTAAAGATGAAAAGACTTGAAGCAATAGAAATGTGGTTCTACAGAAGGATGTTGAGGATACCATGGGCCGAACATATGAGCAATGATGAAATTTTTGAAAAAATTAAAACAAAAACTTATATTAAAACTATACTTAACATCAGGAAGAGCCAGTTGAAATTTTTAGGGTACATAATGAGGAAAGAGGGCTTGGTAAATATGATACACGCAGGAGGGAATGTGAGCTCAAGTAAAATAAATGGATGGTGGAACAGAGTTTGGAAGAAATAACAAAAAGACGTTATTGAGATTTAATTTAAGAATAAGAAGAGCTACGAAGGACAGGAAATTGTGGAGAACCACAATTGCCTCCGACCTGAAGGGATACAGCACATAAGGAAGAAGAATTGGTCAGCTGTTATCACTTGTTTATTATCCTTTCGTTCATTATTACTATGAGGAGAGGAACAAAAAAAAAAAAAAAAAAAACATAGGAATGTCCAAAAATTCGCTAAAAAAAAAAAAAAAAAAAAAAAAACATACCCTGATGAAAAAAAATCCCCAAACCTGATTAAAAAAAAAAAATTGCATTGTTTGAATGTTTATGTCATTATTAAGAGGAAAGACCAAGGTATTTTTTGAAATTTTTTAACCCTTTCTAGCACGTCCGACATTTTTTTTCTCTTGTACGCATTCATTCAGCTTCGATGATGCGTCACTGAGTCTTAACTTTATCCTTATGGTAAGCTTCAAAATTAAATTGTACTTGATTCTTCTTAGCAAATTTTTAGAATCAGCTCCCAGAGGACAGAGTCTCGTCTCGGGAAAATGACTCCGTTTTTACGAGGTTTACACAATAAAACTTGGCCTTGTGCCACATCTTGCTTCGTGGGGCTTGGGCAGTGGGTAAAATACCTAACCTAACCTAAATGTACGTCAGCTTCGAGGTCATTCTAAGAAGAAATGATCCATATATAACTTTTTTTGCCAAGAGGACCGTAGAGAATTGGAATCATCTACCTGAAAAAAATGAAATAACTGCACCTTCTGTTTTGTTTTAGTGAACTGGAAAGTGACACATAAGTCGTTATTACCTATGGATACGATAAAAAAAATTAAAAAGTAGTTTTCTCGGTGATTTTCTAAGCGTAACTTGTGGCACAAAGTCCAGTAATTGTCTAAGCGTAGTTTTGATGTGACAGAAAGACCGAAAGTGTGGAGCACCCAGTGAGGATCGAACTCCCTATTGATCTCTCACTACTAAGACAAGCTTGATAACCATTTTAATGTGGAAGTGCAAAGCAATTTCAGAGTCGTGTTTCCAATGATGACTCACTTTTTTAGTTTAAGTGTGATCTGTTAAAATAAAAAATGAAATCGTTTTATAATAAAACGATTTCATTTTTTATTTTAACAGATAAACTCTCCTCTCCTAAAATAAAACTTTTATTTTAGGAGAGGAGAGTTTATCATTTTATAGTTTTATAATAGTGGGAAGTTTAAATTCATAAGACAAGATTTTAGTTAAGTTTTCATTTCAGAATTAAATGGGAAATCGCGATCGACAACAAAACATAAATGAATGCCAATTGCAACTTCTTTTGCAGAGCAGAGGCAAACTTTTTAAACTTAAAAAAAAAGTTTTAAAAATAAAATTAAAACAAATCAAAAAAGTGTTATTTAGTGGGTGAATTTACTAAATTCTGTCCCAAAATATTATTTTGAAATGATCGATTTCCATTTTTATTTGTTTATTTAAAAAAAAAAAAAAAATGTTCTAAAAATCAAGCAAAAAAAAAAAAAACCAAAACAAAACAAACTTTGATGTTTTTAGTTTTTAGTTTTTGTTTTTTCCCCCACAGACACTAAAACAAAATTAGGAAAATAATTATGTTTACAATATAAAAAAAAAAAGACTCCTAAAATGTCTAGAATAATTTTCTACTTACCTCCTTCCAAATATGAAGAAAATAAATTAAAATTTAAAAAGTATTTAATTTGTAATTAAAAATTTAACTCTTGTTTTTTTCATCTTCAAGTGTTGTAATTGTCACAATTTTGGTTAATTGTTTGGAATTTTTGAGTTACACAATATAATTACTTCTTGATTGTATCAATTCATGTCAATAATATTTGTTAAAATAAAAACAATGACAAATCAAGCAGCAATGATGATTGAGGAAACACGACGCAAGTGTTAAATTATTATTTCGTTTAAAGGACAAAGCATAAATAATGGAAAATCGTTAGGCGGTGTTAAATAAAAATCGGTCCCTTTTTTTTTGTGAAAAGATATCCGGCCCAACATAAAAAAAAAAAAAAAACTATAGCAATAAAAACATAATTTCATTTTAATTTCAATTAAATATCGATATTTGAGGAAAGAAAAGATAAACTGATCTGGTAAAAATGTTATTTGTTCAAGACGATGCAATCTGCAGGGCCAGTGAAATGGTCTTGCGGACCCCCACCGAGTCTACGATGTGGGGGTGGGGTGCTCTACTCTACCACATTTCAATTTTCATAAGGTAGTATTCATATAAAATACAAATTTCATTGTAACCTAATTATGTACAATAATGGATCATATAGGTGAACAATTCAACTAGAAAAAATAAAATCGTATTTAAAATACAAATTAATTAGAGACATGTCATAAATTTGCATTATTCTCTCTTAAATTCTTAACTTAAATCAAAAATTTTTTGTGGCAATTTTGAACATCCACTTGAGATTTTTCTTGTTAAATAATTTTAACCCATTCAACATTATGGATAAAGAAAAAAAGAAATGAATTGTTATTTCGAGACAAGAACAAAACAATGTTTCGGCCATTGTACACTCTGGACTTCTTCAGGTGGTTGGAATGTTGAACTAAACCCTTTATTTCGCTCACTGGGGTAGACTGTTCTAGTTCCACATCTAATGGATGTCAGTTATCAGTTACCTCCTGTTAATTCCCCTCTCTAAGTCCTCCACCACCTTAACCAGGTATTGAACTCACACTCTTTGGGTCCTGTCACTGGATCTAATTAACGCCTTTATCCACTGTGCCTCAAGGACACATGACACAGTGGATAAAAGCATTAGTTAGATCCTCAACATGCCAACCACCTGAAGAAGGCCGGAGTGTACAACGGCCGAAATGGTGTAATAAATATGGCAACAAAGATGAGGACAATAGTCTGAATAATGTAAATAGTGTACATAACACCTCATCTCAGAAATATAAACAGATAAAAAAAATATATATGCACTTTTGATTCCCTTGGTAATGTTTATTTAAAAGATTATAAAAGTATGTGAACCAAGTACAATGCAATATTTATTATTTATCATTTTATCTATATAATAAATGCGAATCCCAGTGTGTCACTAGGTCACACTTTTTCAACTTTACTCTTAGAAGCCATAGCCCAACATATCATACCATTTTGGAATCAGGCTAACTCCGTGAACAAATTAAAAACATTCTGGGTCAGATCTGGACCCGCAATTCTGAAATTTTGGATTCTCAAGTTTTCATTACTGTGATTGTTTTTGTCATTTTTTTTTTTTGTACATTAACAATTTTTATAACTTGGAACTAAGAATAATTTTTTGTACAGAAAGTAAGGACATATGCACATCAAATTTAAATTAAGTGGCGGTAGAAGAATTATCATTGAAATTTTAAAAGGTAACCTTAAATCCAGCGTTCAATTTTGAGCTCTTCTGTAGATTATTGTTGCCTATCACATCTACTTGTTCCTACTTATTGTGATGAAGGCCCAATCAAGAGCACTCCACAGGAGCTCACTTAAATGCTACCCAATAGGGTGACTTTTAATAGCAAAAAATTTGAAAAAGAAATTTTTTTTTATTAAAAAATTTGAAAAAAAATTACGATATATGTGTGTGTATGTCTATATATATATATATATATATACACACACACACACATATCATCTCCAATGTAATATTTATTATTTACCATTTTATAAATACTGTATATACTTAGGTAACGTGTGATCTTATGTATCGTGCGACTCCCAAATTTTCACTTATAAAAAATGATTTTATCATGTAAGTTTCTTTTTCGAGAGACCAAACTCAACATAAAACAAAATAATATTAAGAAAAATTTTGCTCAAAGTTTTATTAACAAACTTTCATTTAATTCACAATTTTATTATTTGCAGTTACAGAAATATGGACCCGATTATTTTCTCCGATTCCATTGCAGATTGTAAATTCCAAATCCAGGGCCTTCTCACTCCTGTTAAAGGAACACTTCCTTGATAAGCCATGTCTTCAGAGGTGTCACCGTATTTACCATTCTTGGCCAATGAGATTCTTTAACTAATAGGGTTTTGATTCATTTTCTACGGCTTCACAGTATATTTAAAGCCAGAAATTTTTTTTTCGATTGTAAGAATTTTTTTTTCTTTGAGATAATAATGGTTTAGTGATAGATTTTATTAATTAACCCATGGTTGGGAGGAGAAGAGATGATTCATACCTTTCTCAAGAATATTAGCACATAAGGAAATATAACGAACCCAACTGGAAATGAAACTTAGGTCTCTAATTAAATATTCTGAGTCATTATCCATTACACCACCCGTATATCCAAGCTTACAGCACCTGGTATTCCCAAGTGGTCACCCATCTAGTTACTGACTAGACGATATTGTTTAACATCAGTGATCATACGAGAACCAGTGTTTCAATATGGTTTTGCTGTAAGCCTTAGAGGTTTTGCAATCAGAGTTTTCCTTCTCTTAGATTGGTTGCCATCTGAGACTATAGGACCCAGTCTGTCCTGTTATTTACCCATAACTGGAAAGACGGTTGGTTGGTTGTTTAGCGGCATATCAACACCTATATGGGACAAATATGACACATCTGGTCTTCTTTTTCTTTAATCATTTCACCCCAAACAAGGTGATAATGCTACTAAGATGCAGGGAATGAATGATTGGTTGGTTTTTTTTAGCAGCATATCAACCTATAATTCCAAAATGTTTACTAATTAACACATTGCTGGAGGGAGAAAATGTGGATTCACACCTTTCCCTTTACATGTAAGGGAATATAATGAACCCAACTTAAGTGGAAAGCTGCTCTCTGATTAACCATTTCGAGCCATTATCCATTACACCACCCACATATCCAAGTTTACAGAACCTGCAGGAAAGATGGAGTCATACCTTTTCCAAAGATATTTGCGCATATAACCAACTTGACTGGAATTCAAATTTGGCTCTCCGATTTATGAATATGAGCCACTATCCAGTTATTTCACACCTTTAATAGATTATAAGTTAATAGAAAAAAAATCAATAATATTTTAAATTGCAGCATTTCAATGAAAGTTTGGGTAGTAAACAAAAAGAATATACAGGAATATAAACCTAAAACATCTTCAAACTAACAAAAATCATAGGAACATATTATGGTCTGTAAAAATACAAATCAAAATTCCCAGGTTCAAATCTCACCTTGTTCTACATTTTAACTGTTGTTTTTCATTAAAAAAAAAAGAAAAGAAAAAATTCCATAAAAGAAAGAACCACACACATCACAAGAAAATGGTTTATTTCAAGTGTGCATTTGCACATCTCACCAATTTTTATTTCTTTGTAAAGGCAGATCCACATATTTTACATGGATAATTTTTTTTTTTCCACTGTGTGTTTGCATGTGCATTTTTAACAGAGACAGTTTAGAAAATGTCAACTCATAGCTTTTACATGGATAATCCTTTTTTTTAGATTCCATGAGGACGTCAGCAGTATTGTTTGCATTCATTTAATGTACCCAGTATGCATTCTTACCATTCAATGATGATAAATGACCTCATGGACATGCAAAATATTTTAAAGGAAGAAAAATATATAAACCTAAAATAGCTTCAAACTAACAGAAACCATATAAACATTATGGTCCGTGGAAATACATATCTGAAAATTTCCAGGTTCAAATCTCACCTTGTTCAATATTAACTGCTTTCAGCATTTCATTACTAATTGGCTTCTCTCAAATGTATATTTGTAAGTAAAAACTAAGTGGGAATAATTTATATTATTTATATAGACTATTGTCCTCATCTTTGTAGTTATTATCACAATATTTTGGCTGCTGTAACCTCCAGCCTTCATCAGGTGTTTGTCAATCCAGGAATCTTCAACTGAACACTATTTAATCTACAGGAAAATAGTGGATTAAGGCAAGGGTTCATGAATTTGCTGGCATAGTAATTGTGAGTTCAATCTCTGGGCTGGGCAGTGTATACTTGGACTTAGTGGAAATAGGGCAAGCAATAACTGAGTAGTATTAAACAAGAACTAAAAAAAATATCCCTGAACATGTGCAGCAGAATGAGAACAGTCTACTCCTGTAGGTTAAATAAAGGGTTCAGTTCAAATTTCCCTGAATACTGCCCAGATTGACAAGCACCCGATGAAGACTTGAAGGTACAATTCCTGAAAAACAACAAAAATAAGGACAATAGTCCATGTGTAAATAAAACGACAATTCCTCAACTTAGAAATTCAGACAGAAACGGCAAATGTTTGAAATTGAGAAAATGAAGAACTATACATTTTACAAAAGAAGCATTTTCTCTCAAGTGTGTTTTCGCATATGTTTCAGTAAATCTGATCTCCATGAAAAGGATGAGCCACATGTTTCACAAGAATAGGGTTTTTCCCCAGTGTGCTTTCTCATATGTGGCCCCAAATATGACCTTCGCGAAAATGTAGATCCACATATTTCACAAGAATATGGTTTCTCTCCAGTATGTGTCTGCATGTGTTGCATCAAGTTTGAGTTTAATGAAAAGGAAGAACCACACACTTCACATGAATATGGTTTCTCTCCAGTGTGAGTTCGCACATGTTGAACTAAGTTGTAATTCCGAGCAAAGGAAGAGCCACAGATTTCACATGAATATGGTTTCTCTCCAGTGTGAGTTCGCATGTGTCGTAAAAAAATTGACTTCCATAAAAAAGAAGAACCACACACATCACAAGAAAATGGTTTATTTCTAGTGTGTGTTTGCACATGTTTCACCAATTTTGATTTCTTTGTAAAGGTAGATCCACATATTTTACATGAATATGATTTTTCTCCAGTATGTGTTCGCATGTGTTCTTTTAAAAATGAATCACAAGAAAATACTGACCCACACACATCACAAGAAAGTGGTTTCTCTCCGCCATGTGTTTGCATGTGTATTTTTAACTGAGACAGTTTAGGAAATGTCAACTCACAGCTTTTACATGGATAATCTTTTTTAGATTTTTCCATGTTTTTATTAGTAAGTCAGCAGTATTGTTTTCATTAATTTAAAGAATCTAATCTTCATTCTGACTGTCCAATGATGGTAAATGACCTCATGGACATGCAGCATGCAAGGTCTCATCCAGCCAGAACATCTGAAAAAGAAAAGCAATATATCTACATTGAGAAAAAAAATTATAAAAGGAAAATCCAAAGAGAGGCTCAGCAAGCCTTTCTGTTGACTAGGGGCAATGGATTATTAGCATAGCACTTGATAAAACTTTGCTGGAATTGGCTTAAGCAATTTAGTCTTTTTAAAAAGAAATCTTTACTTTTTCCATTGGATTAAATTAAGTTTATTATTTAAGACACTGAAGAAAGTGTAAGGTTGTTTACTTTAAACTTGGAGTATTTTCATTTTATCTTTATTATACAAAAAAACATTTTAGCTCAATGTTAATTTAATATTTTTCTCTATGATATTGTTCTTCAGTCGGCACAAATATTGTTACAATTCATGCTAGTCAAGAAATGGTCACTATCGGCTGGGCCTATGGGAGAGAAAGTCTGATGTCATGGAAGCCCAGAACTTTCTACACCACTTGAGAGGGGCGGTTTAACTGAGAAACAAAATTTTTTCGGTTTCATCTTCACGCCTTGAAACCGCATTGAAATTTTTTACGAAAGTGAAATTGTTCATTTTTTTTAAGTGCTATCACTACTGAGTGACCATATCCAAAGAAACATTATTGGAAAAGACTTTCAGATGTTAATAAAATTAACCACTTTATACCATTGTAAGAGAAAAAGATTGAACAAAAATATGTTAAAAAAACATTTAACTGACTAGTTTTTAGGAAATAAATGTGAAATCTATTTTTTTTTTACAAAAGAAAGGAAGAAGAAAAAAAGGAAATACAACATGTCTGATATCTATTTGTTTCAGTTTTCAAAAAAAAAAAAAAAAAAAACTTTTGCAGTAAAATTAAGTCAACAAAATAGCAAGTAAAAATAAAAAACATAGTTGCCAGTTTTGTCTTAATGTTAAATTTCATGAATTCCGATTTTTTGTAAGGTTTGTACGTAACTGTTGTTTTCTAGTAAGCCAGTGTCTGTATGCTAATCATAAAATAACGTTGTTGTAAACAAGAAAAATTAATGAAGATCTTTTTTATGAATAAATTTGTTTTTTTTTTATCTTAGGAATGCACCTAAATTAGATATTAAGAATAATTTATATAGTTCTTAATTTCACTTTTAAAATGTGTATATTTCCAGATATGTGAGTCGCTAGTGTAAAATTGTCTGTTTTCTACAAATAAAATTGTTTCTATCTAGTGAATACACCGAAAATTAGATATTTAAAAAAATAAAGTAAGTTTTAATCTCAGTTTTAAAATGTATATATTTTCAAAACTGCAAGTCATTTTTTTTAAAACCCAAAGTAAAAATTATTCTTTTTTAGCCATTAATGTTTGGTGGGTGTTTGAGTTTGTTACTGTTCTCAGCTGCTTATAAAATTCTTCTAAACAAGGAAAATTAATTCATTTTATTTTTATAAATATCTTTATGGTTTATCTGGCGAGTACACTTAAGTAAGATTATATTAAAATGATTAAAGTAGTTTTTAATTTCAGTTTTAAAATGTGTATCTAAAAAAGAACAGGTAATACTTGCAGATTTGGAAATCTACACATTCTAAAAATCAAATTAAAAGCTTTTAATTATTTTTAATATTTAATTTTAGGTGTATTCACTAAATGAAGACATTAATTTATTTAGGGAGGAAAAATAATTCCTTGATTTTCCTTGTTTAGAAGAATTTTATTTGTAAAACCCAATAACAGTTGACTGGTGTCCTAGAAAAGATTTGCCATTATAAAGCAGAAATTATTCTTATTTTGTCATCATAGCAGAATGTAGGCACCTTGAGGTGATGTAATGGTTAGCAAGCTTATCTTGCTAAAACAATTACGACTGAGCAGTGAGTTCGATTCTCACTGGGTGTCCCTTACTTTCAGCCTTGTGCCATATCTAAGCTATTCTTGGAAAATCAATATTATAGCAGAATGTTTGAATAACCATTGACACCCAATATAGAATATAGGGAAAACTTTAACCTTCATGCCTGAAAAAAAGAAAATGAAGTCTCAAAAGGACAGTTTTTCCCTTGACACCTATTATTTTAACTTCCTTCACTCCTTAGCAATGTTTATTGTTTTAAAAAACAATAATTAGAATTGTATAAAAATCCAAAAATATAAAAGTGAATTCATACATTTTCTTTGTTCTTGAGAATTGACAACAAAAATAATAAACACTATTTATTAGATTGTTTATTGGAATGGTTGGAAAAATATTAGCTTTGAACTTTATAAAATGGTTAAGAATAAGGATTTCCTTATAGTCAATTCACATATTTTAATAAATTTTTATAAATTTATGAATTAAAATATTGTTTTCCTATTCATTTCTTTATAAATTGGTAAATGATAATAATTGTATTAGTTCTTAGAATTTTGTAAATAAACAATCTAATTAATAAATAGTGCTTAATATTTTTCTCGGACATTTGTAAGAACAAAAAAAAATGTATAAATTCACTTTCATAATATGTTTAGGTTTTATTACAATTCTAATCTATCTTATACATTTATAAGTCATTCATCAATGCATTGACTATTGCTGCCACATACTTTTTGGTGCATCTGCTATGTATTTAGAGATTCTTAACAAAATCCAAAGAACCTGCAATGCTATCAGTTCTAACCTGGCATCTCAGCTTCAATAATTTTCCTACATTGTGTAACATAGCTTCCTTGTGTCTTTTCTAGAAATATTTTCATGACAATTGTTCTGAGGAACTTTCGTCTTTGGTACTTTGAATTCATGAACTTAAGTGTAATGCTAGATTGGCTGCTCAGTCCCATCATTTTACTGTTGAAACTGATAAATGTAAGTAATTTCTATTCTAATAGTTTCTTCTTTCATTACACTTTTCACCTTTTCCAGCTTCTTGCTTTCCCATAATCATAATTTCCTAAAATTGGAAACCAACTTCATCTTCAGTCTTTTTTAACTTGGTTCTTTTATTGTCCCTGCCTTTCAATAATGTTATCTCCGTTTCTTTCACTCTTGGGTCTTAGTGACTTTCTCACCTTGCTTGGAGTGAAATCATTTAAAGAAAAAGATGACAGAAGAATGGAGCAAGGATTTTGGAGTACTGAAGCTGTAGTGAACTACCATAGAGGGAAAAGATGCCCAGGGCAGCATTCATTTATTTCCAGGACGGAAATGGATTTGAAGGTGTCTCCCACGTAAAATATCCTAAGTGGAAAAATGGCAGTTTGACAAGCCATGCATTTAAAACAGATAGATGTTGGAGTCAAATAGACTCTTGTGAGTGTCTCTTGTAACATGTAAATTTTAACTGTCAATCAAGCTATAAAAAGTGCATAAGGTGACAGACATAAGAATTGTGACTACTGTAGCAAGCAGGAGATGTGTTGTGCTCAGTTTTGATAGATTATTTGACTTAAGTTTGTACCACTACCCTGTTGGTTGTTGAAGAAAATGGATGACGGAAACTGCTTGCAAGCCAAAAGTAAATGACTAACAAATATATTGACTGTTACAAACTTTAGTTACAGGGGCATAGAAGCAAGCTGAGGGAAACACTTGAACTAGAAATATGGATATTGTAGCAAAGATATAGGGACAAGTACCCTGGAACAATCAGGAACACTAAAACATAAGAACAAGAACACCCAGGCATTACAGCAAAGATATTGTTACAGAGGAATATGGGGTTCAGCAGAAATACCTCCCACATAATGGTAAAACATTAGCTAGATGGAGATACCATTGCCACCAATATTTTACCATTATGTGGGAGGTATTACTGCTGCACTCTGTATTAGGGGAAAAAAAAAAAAAAACTAGAGCAAGGATGTAAAATTATTATGGTTATAAAAACAAAGTGGGCTTGTACAATAGTCGAGACTTTGTTGTTTTTCAGCTCTCTGAATAGTTTTCAGCTCAATTATAGAACTGTATTAATGTTGTTTTGAAGAGAAAGTTTAAAACTAAGCTTCCAAATTTTTAATTAAAAATAGGAGTTTATCTTACTATAGAGTAAATAGTCATGATTAAATTTAAATGGCAGAAATGTCCAACAAACAGAATTGAAAAAGTTTGCAACAAACAATAACAAAAGGACAGGGCAAAAATAATATTAAGCAAACAATAAGTGCAAAGACAAAAGTAGGCAAAGTAACAGTAGTAAAACAAAAATGTTCACAAACCAAAAATGATGTTAACACACAAAAGGGATACAGACAAGTGATTAGTTTTCTGACTTCAATACAAGAAAGGACAATAATATGGTGGATGCGACCGAGAAATGGCCAATCTAATAAGATTGGCTAGGAAGAAATCCCAGTAAACATCTGTACAGTTTGGTGAGGGTGGAGGGGGGTGTTTTCGCAGTCATTCTAACTGAAATTGGTACCAACAACAGTAGAGAGGTAAAATTCCTGAAAAAAAGGTTAAATTTTCCATGAAACTCATTTAAACTTCTTTGTGGGGGATTTTCAGTGCCACAAATGAACTGAACATATGTAAAAAAAATAATAGAAGTCTAGATCATGATTTTCTGATAAATATAAGGAAAGTCATATCAAAAACTGATATTTGGTGCTTTGGGTAATAATCAATTTAACGTATGAAAGGAACCGAGTACATTTTAAATATTTTCTCAAGAATAATTTTATAACATTTTTTTTGAAACTGTTTTAATCTTTGAGAACTTAATGCTAAAAAGGAGAAACGATTTTGCCCCAGGCATTTTTTTTTTAAATCATTTCACTGCAACCAAGGCAATAAAATCACTAAGGCATGAAGTGTTATTGAGTGCGAGAGAATATGAGAAAAAGAAAACATTATTAAGATGAGTGAACTATAATTAAACAGGAATTAACAAGATGAAAGATAACGATTGACATTGTATTTAAATTTTTGAAGATCAAAGTTGACTGGGAAGCGAGAAACCAGATGAGAGTTCTACAAGCAACAAGCGTGTTTTTTTAAGTTAGCGTTATTTGAAGTTGGGGATTCAGAGACAAAAACAGGCAAAATATGTAAAAAAAAAAAAAAAAAGTTGTGTTTATTTGACTGAACTTTATGTTATCAGGCACCAAAATCTACTAGATACAAGTCATTTTTGATAAAGTGTCGTTAAACCTGTTTCTGAATTATAATATTCATTTGAAGAAGATTCCATTGCAAAAAAAAAAAAAAAAAAAATTGTCCTATGCTGATCCCCTGAAGATTAAGCATATCCAAGTTTTGATTAATTTCAGATGATCATAACATGACTAATACTTGGCGTGAGAACAAAGTTAAATCAGTTCTGAAATCCTAAGATGGTTTAATTCCAGATTAGATATAGGACATATCGCTTAGCAAAGGTCTTAATGTCCGCTTATGAGCCCACTCGACCATAGTAAAAAGGAAACTGAAACATAGTGGCAGCAACAGAATAATACTGAGACAGGAAAACTTGAGTGAGGATGTAGGAAAATCTGCACTAAAATTCTGGAGTATCAACAATATGAACAAATACAATAATGAATACTATCAAATCTATGCATGGCCAGAGCATTATATAAATTATACTTTTTCAACATTTAGTTTCATCATGGCTTCCAATATTATAAGCAATCTGCTGAAGGTGGGATATAAAGATATGTGATGATTTATTTTGTATTTTACCAATTTATTAATAAATATCATAGTTATTTATTAAAATTGACAATTAATTTAAAAGTTTAATAAACTTTAATTCAAGTCATGAATTCTATGACTAAATTACCTTAAAGCCTAAAGAAAAAAATTACCTTTAGGTGAACAATTCCTACCCATGGGATATAAAGGAAAATGGAAGCTGAATCCATGACAGAAGTGCAGAAATATTTCTACACATGGATTTGGCACAGGATTTTGTTTTTTATGGTTTATCAACTTTTTACAGCTTATTTAAAGCCAGAAAAATTTTCAGATCTAGGAATTTGGAGGAGGTAATAATGATTTACTGATACAAATCCTACTAATTAACCCATAGCTGAGGGAGAAGAGGTGTATTCATACCTTTCCCAATTGTATTTGCACATAAATAAATATAACAAACCCAAATGAAATTGGAATTTGACTCTCTGATTTCCAATTTTGAGTTTTTTTATTACACCACCCACAAATCCAAAGTTACAGCACATGGTATTCCCAAGTAGTTACTCATCTAGGTATTGACCAGGCTCAATGTTGCTTAACTTTGCTGATCATATGAGAACCAGTATTTCAATGTGATATGGCCATAATCCCTTGAACACAGGAACAATAGGTCCAAAGCAAAAATTTGTATGTTTTTCTTTTATTCAATAATCCCAACCCAAGCAAGGCTATGAAGCCACTAAGATTCAAGGTGTTACTGAGTGTAAAAGAATCTGAGAAAAAATATTATTAAGATAAGAGGGTAATAAAAGAGGATGAATTAAGAAGACCGATGATAACGATTGACATTGATTTCAAATTTTTGAACATCAAAGTTGACTGGAAAGCAAGAAACCAGGAGAGAGTTCCACAAGTGAGAAGTGTGAGAGAAGAAACTGTTAGCATAGAACTTACGGTTACATAGCCATTCCAACTGTAAAAATGATGAGATCTAATACTACACTTAACTTCTTAAAGTCGAGGTACCAAAGATGTTCATTAGAACAATTACCATATAAAAATATTTATAGAAATGGCACAGGGGGGCTACGTTATGGTGGTGGGAAAGTGACTGAAGCCAAAATATCAGGTCAGGACAAATAACATTGCTGATTCTTCTTTTGGTTTTGTCAAGTATCTCCATAGCAGGATAAAACGAAATATGACATGTTGTCCTATGGGACACTAGCCTAATGAATTTTAAAACATTGGTTCATGAAATAATTTCATTCATTTGTAAGTCCTGGAAGTTTCAATAAAATTCGACAATTTATTTGATTTCAGCAAAAAATTTCCAAATCAATGTCTTTTTGTTTTGTTTTTTAACTGAATTTTTTTCAGTTAAAAAACAAAACAAAACGACAGTGATTTGGAAAAAGAAAACAAGAAAGAAACAAACAAAAAGAAAAAAAAACCGCTAAAATATTGTATACTAATCTTTGCTCCCCCCCTATTACGCAAGAAAACAAGTTTTTAACCAAAATTTCAAATTTTAAGAGGATTATTATTAACAATAACATAATTATTAAATATTAAAAAATACTTTGATTTTTTTTCATCTTAATAATAACAAATATTTTGACGACAAAACTTAAGTTTGCAGCATTTTTTCATCTAATTATTTAGCAATTTTGTGGCTGTGACTAAATTTTAGAAAGATTTTTTTTTTTTTTTACTCAAGAGAATTACGTTGTGCTAAATAAAAAAATCAGCCATGTTTAGCGATTAAAAACAAAAAACAAACTAATTCTAATCAATTTAAAAATTCGTTTGAAAATATTCAATTAAAAAAAAATCTATTAGCTTGAAATTACTAAAATTTCAAGATAGATTTTTTATTTTAAAAAAATCATTTTTAAACTTTAAAGTAGTTAAAAACTGAAACATTATCGTTTTTCTTCGGAGGTACTTAAGTTCTTTTTCTAGCATTATCTATTTTATTTTAATTTTTAAACGTTTGGTGGTTATTCGTAGGAGCGAAAGAAATATAATTCTTCCAATTTTTGTTAGCGGTCGTCCATACAATCGTACAATGAAATAAAAATGTTATCTTTACTTTAGTCGTCACAGGTGACATGAGATTTTAAGCAACTTTTCATCGCCATTAAAATAAATTTAAGTGGATTTTATGATTTTTTTCATTTCTTTTTTTTTTTTTTTAAACCTAACAGCCAGATATTTTTAAAAAAATGATTAAAATTTATACATTAGGTTAACTAATGACTTCGTTTTTTTTTGTTTTTTTTGTCTTTATCTTTTCAAATTAGGGAAAGAATTAAAAGTACTAAGTTTTCACTACAGGATTATTTTTGAAAACAGCAATCGTATTTTTTACTTACTATTGTTTTTTTCAAACTTGGCAACAAAGAAATGAATTGATTTCTTTCTCGCATGTGTTTAAAATGCTTCCTCTGAATTTAGTCCACAGGGTTAGCTCATCTGTTCAATAAACAACAATAAAGAAAGCAGAACTTTGTCAAACGTTAAATTATTCGAAGAAAATATGCCTTTCGACAAAAACCGGTGTCAGAAACGTTTTTGTTCCTTGTGCAAAAATGTTCAATTTGCTTGAAATCTATTTAAAATAAATATCCATTTTTAAGCTTTACGAATTTCGTATTTTTTCAAATTTTACAGGTCGAACGTGTAATGTGCTTTATAGGTCTCTGAAAAATAAGTTTTCACTTTTTGAAACTATTTAAAAAAAATATTAGCCGATAATGACCAAGTTCAGAAATAAAATTATTCTATTAAAATAAAATAAAATTATTTAGACATCACAAGTAAATGCAGACATTTGATTTATTAATTTAATATAATTTGAAAATCCCCTACTTACTAAGTGTTCTTTGAAAATAGTTGAAGATTTCAACTGTCTAGAAGAAAATAAATTTATATCAGAGCATTTTTTATTTTTTTGGAACAATGGGAGTGGGAAATCTGTACTTTTGCCTGATAAACAAATGTATGTTTAGGCAAATTGGGACATTCATAAAAAAAAAAAAAAAAAAGAAAAAGCCTGGTGCATATATGGCATTATGCATATACAGCGACCTTGGATGTCATCACAGCTTGTGCATTGGCATGCAAAAGGCATCATCACAACTAGTTAAAATTGGATCCATCAATTATTTCTTAGGACCAAGTAAAATTATGTATCTTTCAACAGGAGCATACTGCCTTGTCCAGACATTCAAATTTTTTGTTTAATTCTGCAGTGTAAAAAGTTCCAGTATAAGAACAGCGATAAAAATTCAACATAACTTTTTACCTGTTAGCAAAAAGAAATACTGAATATGTATAAAAATGAAAGTTTATCATTTATTTGCTTTGATGAATAAAAATTTCACAGTGTAGAATATTAAATTAACTTCAAATGAAAAATGTTAAATTAACTTCTAAGTGACAAGACCAAAATTCATAAATTGCATATTTTAGTTAATTTCACACAAAAAAAAAATGTTTGAGTTTGCAAGAAATGTAAATAAATATATAGCAAATCTGTAGAAAAAAGAATAAATAAATATTATACTTACTTCAATTAAATAAGCTAAAGTTATTCCAAGTGTAAGAACAAAAATCTTCTTTAAATTTCTTAAGCTGGCTACAGCAACAAACTGATGCAACCCAAACCAAAACTAAAATGTATCACTCCCAGTGAAGTAAGAAGCTTTTGAAATAAGCCTCCAGTTCTGAGTCTTAGTTGCACTATGAATAGGCCTGCAGTATAGAACACTATGGCATGAATAATAAACATCTATGAAACGAACTCAATTTTCTTTGTGTCTAAGGGAGACACAGCTAATTTATTCCCCCCCCCCATGTAGTTGACAACTGCTTCTCCCACCATTACTTTCCTTTTTTTGCATTGTTTACATCCTGTTTGGTCAGTGGCATATCTAGGGTATAGCAAATAGAGTTCTTGCCACGGGCACCATTTGGTGGAGGTACCATATCCCCATTGAACACCAAACAAATAAATTGTCATGCAATATTCATTAATTAAGCACAAAATCATTTGATAATGACAGTCAATGATGAATGCTGCTAGTGAAAATGTTTTTATTGTCCTCCATACTGAGAAGCAGTAACAGATCTATTTAGTCAGTCAGTTATGTGCCATGTGTGAACACATGTAGGCAATCATGTATCTTTTGATACATGACTGATGAGGCAGATTTTTTTCCTGTAGTAGGTTGCCATTTTTTTCTGCGGTAGACCAGTTGCCATCCAAGGCTATAGAATCTGGTCTGTCCTGCTATTTATCCATAGCTAGGCGAGGGGGGGGAAGAGGATTGATATCTTTCCCAAGGGTATTAGCATAAAAGTGAATGTAATGGATTCAACTGGAATTTGAACTTGGTTCTCCGATTCCTCAATCTAAACCGCTATCCATTACTCCACTGTGCCTCCAGCAGATTTATTATGAAACTAATAAATCTTAAGCTTCAGGGGCCCTAATTCCCCCGAAGCAACTTTATGAATGATTTCTTTTTTTAAGTGTTTGTTATTAAAATAAAATCATTTTAATGATAGAATCATAAGCCAATGGTAGCTAATGTTAACCTTAGAATATTCTTAAATACCCACTTCATATGGCCTCAAAATTCCCCTGTATTTCGTCAAATTTGGAAATTTTCTTGATAGCTTGCTGTACCTGAACCTCCAACTATATGGGCTTGTTGAACTCACCAGAATCCATTCAGAGCCTATATTTTGGTATTTGGATCTTTGAATCTATTGTTGCTGGCTGTGAAGGGGCCCCAATATCTGTTCAAGCTTCAGGGCCCCAAAAATGTAGGTATGCCGCTGATGAGAAGTAGTGATTGAAATATTTGCATCAGTGAAAGTAAGCATAATTTTAGGCCTAACTGGTAGCTGCCTCAGTTTGTTGTTTTCACTTGTCTTCTCACAATAGTCGTACAATAACCTATCAAAATATATCTTCTTGCGATGCCATTATTATTTTTTATAATTTCTCAATGGAAAACTTAGATTATTATTGAAAATATATAATCTTTTCATGGAGAATTTTATTACTACTGAAATGTTTTTTTTTTTTTTTACAGACCTGGGTGCCACTCAAGGTAGAGGGTTATGTTAAGGAGTAGTTTATATGGATAAGAAGGGAAAATAATGTTTAACTCTAGACTTGAACAGGTTAAGATTATAGTGATCGGGGGAAACATCTTCTTGGAAGAAGCTGTTTGAGTGGAACTTACATCTTGCCAATGGAATATGGTGAGAATGTGCGTGGTTTGCTACTATGTAAGTGGCGTTAGTGGGTTAGACCTGGCGGAACCAAGGAATGTACTCTGTCCAAGCACTTTCTATGGAAGTAGTGATAGAACAGTGAGAGACATACCACATCCTGTCTGTACAAGAGAAGTTGGAGGATGGAAAATAATTCTTCTCCAACAAGGACTCAGAGATGCTTTTGAACACTCTCAAGACTGGAAATTGAGAACTGGGCAGCTCCTGCCCAAATATGGCAACAGTACTCCATTTTCGGCCTGATCCGGCGCTTATAAAGGTAACGGATAGCATGAGGAGTCGGGTACTTACTGGAGCAGTACAGGGAGCTGATCGTTTTACCTGCATCTTTA